TCAAATAAAAAGAGTTACAAGACAGATACGTCGCAAATACAACAATCTTCAAACAGATCTTATAAATGAGCAACAACGAAGATATAATGCAGAAGCAGAACGAGATATACGTCAAGCAGAGTTAACACAAACTCAAGGAGATCTCAACTTAATAACTACTGCATATAATAATGAAAGAGTTGTATGCCATCAGTATTTTTTAGAATTACAACAATGTCGTATCAGAATAGATATGTTGGAAAATGATTTACATTTATGTGATATCCAGCTCGATCTTAAATGGGGTAAGTGGAAAAATAGAACTCGAAATGCAGAACAATTAATTTTAAATTTACAGGGACAAATTTTATTACTACAGAATAATCAACCAAATATGGCAGAAGCAAGACGTTTACCTACATTAAAATATGTATCTAGTCTGTTAAATCCAATTCCTCAATATATGGGTCAATTGCCTCCGGATAACTACTGTGATATGATTATACAGGCTTGGGCACCTGCAGTACCAAATATGACAGCTCTTGAACTGGAAATGCAGGAGATTTTGATGATGCTGTTAAAGTTGAAATTATGAAAGGTAAAATGGCTGGAAAATACGCTCCTGTCCCAGCAGAAAATAATTTTGTAGATCCAGCAGTTAATATTAATAGTCCAGATACTTTAAGAGCATGGTTAAATGCTAAATATCAACGAGAAACAGTTGGAACTAGCCAATCAGCTATTTTAAGATTATCTCAAGAAAGATTCCAACCTTTTGATAATCCCGATACCTATGAAGCCCGAATTCGTCCACTGATATTAGGTGTACCAAATGATGATGCACGAGTATTAGGAACTCTTAAAACTCATTTATCAAGTGATCGAGAACTTTATAGTTGGATGAGGAATGAAGATATAGCAGGAATTGATGAATTTTTCATTATATTGAAAAATATGTGGCTTGAACGTTCTAGTTTATATATAGATCAAAACTCTGATCAAACACAATCAAAGAAAAAATCATTTACAAAGCAAAATGACAATGTACAAAGTTCACAGCCTGCTAGTAATATTCTACAATCTACAGTTTCGCAAGCAACATTACCCTCATATGATGAAATGCAAAAATCATTTCAAGCTATGTTTGATAAACAGGATACTAAACATAAAGCTGAGATGGAAAAATTGAAAGCCGAATTTCAAGCACAAATGACTCAGCAACCAATTGCTCAAAAAGAACAAACACTAGTTCCACAAATTGTTAAACCAGCTAGACAACCGAAAGGTCCACCATCAAATTTAATTACGAAAGAAGATTATGAAACTTATTATTTAGGTAAATACTTTAATGATTTAGGCATATATAGTAAAGAAGATTTAGATTCAAATTATCCTGAAAAACCTTTTCAAAGATCTCGTCCACAACGAAAAGATAACTCTGTTAGATTAGAGGAGAAAGTAGATGAAATTGGAAATATGTTATCTAATCTTAATATAAACAATCAATCCAAAAAACCGGTAGCCAAATCAAATCGAACACAACGATATTATCCTTTTCAATCAATAAATTATAACTTTTCAGCTAATAATGAAAATAGTGGATATAATGAAGAAAATGATATATGGTACGATGATGATTCCGAAAAAAAAAACGAGTACCAGTAAATAAAAACTTATTTCAAAGAAATGACTCTTCAAGTCTACCTGGTAACTCTGCTAACCCTTCTTCTGATCTAGCAACTATCCACCCCGAAACATATGATCAGTTATTGTCTAAGCTTTCA